ATTCGCATTGGGTCTGGTCTGTGCGGTTTAACACATTTCATGATCAATTAATACTATCCAGTTCAAGTGATTGCAAGGTGCTTCTGACCTGTGCCGGCTCGGTTAGCTCAGAAGCTCCGGGTACTGAATCTGGCGAGGCGATTGCAGCCGGCTCACAGGAACGGCACAAAGTCCTGTCAGATGGCTTACTGCAGACCTTCGACCAGCATGAAGATTCTGTGTACTGTGCAGAATGGAGTAACGTTGATCCTTGGATTTTTGCATCGTTGAGCTATGATGGACGCGTTATAATCTCAAAAGTACCGAAACAATATAAGTACCAAATAATTTTCTAACTTATTCCTTATACATAATATTCCACTAGTTTTTATAAATACTGTATACACAAATACATTACTAGGCTTTAGGTTAAATAAATCTAATTATGAACTAATGATTAGCCAGTGTCCTCTGACGTACAATCGGATGAATCATTAGGATTTGCAGTCTCCACGGAACACACACGTTTTATGAGTTCATTTTCGATCTCGACTGTTCCATTTTCGATGGCCTCCTGCATTTGCACATACTCGATTGTGGCTCCGCTTTTCTTGGATGTTTGCTCGACGGCCGGCTTCGCCTCTGCTGTTTCCACCAGCTGCGCAGGCTTCGCACTTTCAGTTTCATCTTCCGCCTCTTCGGCTAAGCTGCTTCGCTGAGGCTGGACTTCTGCATATATCGCGGGATATTGCTGTTGTAGTTTCTGCTTAATAATGCGCACTTTACGAAATATGTAATCCAGATCTTTTTTCATTTCACTCAGCAATTTAACGTGTCGTTTAAATTCTTCATTTGCGTTCTTTAAACGACTTTGGGACAAGGCATTGCAATTGAGCAGCATTTCATTCGTCTTCTCAAACCGTTGTAGCCTGAAAGTTGTAAACGTTATTCATTCATTGTGACATCATTTTGATTTCCAGCAGGAATGCAGTTACTTGCATGCCCACCAAATACTTTCATTGTTGTCTACTCACATTTGTTTTTGTGCTCGTATCATGGTCTCAACATCACTCTGATTTACCATTCCTGAAAGGCCTTGAATAAATGCTTCGGCAGGTGTACAATTGTTAAAACCAAAGCCATTGAAGGACTCTAAATCTGGTGTAGTATCCGCGTTGTCGTCCATTGCATCCGTAATTTTAATCTCGGACATCGAGTTGGCAAACTCTGGGATACTCATAAAACAAAACATAAACATGCATGTATTCCTGCATTGTAATATTTGCAATCGATAACACTTACTAAAAATGTTAACGATACATCGCGACTAACATTTGAAATCACGATTTCATGTGATTTCGAATTTACTGTGACATCGGCGGCACAATTGTTATTATACTTTAAATTATCATAGTAAATACGTACATTACATATATGTCTTTTTTCATATTATTATTTCTTTATATTGTGCAGTAAATTATTATTTACTCCATAATTAATTTACTGCTGCATATAAATAGTTACCAATAAATATAAAAGAAAGTCATTTAGCCTTCAAGCATAGCTGTCACTTGTTAGTGTTGCCAAAATTAAATCAAATAAAAGATTCTTAATTTTTACAAAATGCGACTTTTTTTTAAATGCGCTAAGCCATTAAGATTAATTTTTAACAGATGCATTACAACGCCGGTTAATGTAAAAAGTTAGTGCCCTCTATTAATAACATTTTAACAAATGTTACGTGTATTGGGTGGCCACACTTTGAGTAAATTTGCTTGTCAAACAATTAACCGACTGTTTTTATATCATTCGCCTCAAAACCATTAACTAGCTATGAAGCCGGCACCGACTGTCAAATTGAACAATGGCTACGAAATGCCCATCTTAGGTTTGGGTACATATAATGTAAGTTCTTATTATATATAAATATATATTATATATATATATATATAAATATAAGAGCTGCACTAAAATTATTTTGACTTGCAGTCGAAGAACAATGAGGGCGAACTAGCTGTAAAGCACGCCATTGACATCGGATATCGGCATATAGACACCGCCTATTTCTACCAAAACGAGGCGGAGGTGGGCAAAGCCATTCGCGATAAGATTGCTGAGGGTGTGGTCAAGCGTGAAGATATTTTCCTAGTGACAAAAGTAAGATGTTGAAATGGAATTGGAGACATTTTCCACACATCTATCATTGGTACTCTTCTAGCTCTGGAACATACATCATGATCCCAAGCACGTAGAGGCTGCGTGCCGCAAGCAACTATGCAACTTTGGCTTGGACTATATAGATCTGTATTTAATGCACATGCCGGTGGGCTACAAGTATATCGATGAGGAAACGCTGATGCCGAAAGACGAGAACGGGGTGCTTCAGCTGAGCGATGTTGACTACTTGGACACCTACAAGGCCATGGAGCAGCTAGTAAAAATTGGTCTTGTACGCAGCATCGGGGTGTCTAACTTCAACAGCGAACAGCTGTTGCGTGTGATAAACAATTGTGAGATCAAGCCGGTCACCAATCAGGTAGAGTGCTCACCAGCGATTAACCAGAAGCAACTGGCCGCATTTTGCAAACAGCACGGAGTCACTTTAACTGCGTACACGCCACTTGGCAAACCCAAACCGGACGAACAGAAGCCAGAGTTTCTGTATGCTCCCAAAGTGAAGGCTATAGCTGAAAAATATAACAAGACGCCGCCACAAATTGTACTGCGCTATTTGGTGAGTGCAGATCTTAACTTTCCTGGTCTAGCAGTCTTGGGAAAGGGTATATTTATAGACTTTCAAAGTCATATAAAAAGCTTTGGCTATGAGTAGTACAGCTTTCGGTCTTGACATTAGCACATTTGTGCAGGGCACAAGATTCGAAGCCGTATTCCTAACAGCTTGAATGTCTTGTTACAGGTGGAGCTGGGTGTTTTACCCATTCCGAAGTCATCCAATGCCGGTCGCATAACCGAGAACTTTAACATCTTTGACTTTCAGCTGACCGAGGATGAGAAGTCTGTGCTGGATGGCTATAACACGGGCGAACGAATGGTGCCTTTGAATTTGATCAAGGGTCAAAATCACAAGTACTATCCATTTGCCATTGAGTTTTAAAGCAAAAGCTTAGCCAGTGCACATGTAAATAATTATTAATGTGTTAAATATAGATTGCAATTAGCATCTGCTTTTCAATGGTTAAAATTTTCTTTTTTGATTTAGTTTAAGCTGTTTGAAAGCACGTTATTTATTCGTTTTGGGATCAAAATTGGTAATCAAATAAATTTCAAATATTGTATATAGAAGTTCGCTTGTTTTTATATGAGAACATATTCGTAATGATATCGGCACGCTGTTTGACCACATGTGACGACGATGAAGAAGACAACTCAAGGGTGGCCCTCATACTGGGCGACAAGCCTGTTTGCGGTGTTAAGGCCCTGCTGATGGCCCCAAAGATCAAGCTGAGCAGCGGCTACGAAATGCCTGTACTGGGATTTGGAACCTATAAGGCAAGTATTGCGAGTACAAACCAATCAGTTCCTTAAAGCTTGTTCCCTTACATTGCAGATGAAAGGCTATCAATGCTTGACTGCCATCCACTGCGCTGTGGAGACAGGCTTTAGACACTTCGACACGGCGTTTTGCTATGAAAACGAAAAGGAGGTGGGCGAGGCGATTCGAACGCAAATACAAATGGGGAATGTCTCTAGGGAGAACATATTTCTCACTACCAAGGTAAGTCGTCGTCGTCTTTCTCTGAGAATCTCTTTTAATTTCATTTATCCTTCTCCACTTACAGCTTTGGAATACGCACCATGACCCGCGAGACGTGCGCCGTATATGTGAAAAGCAGCTGGAAGCCCTCGGCTTCGATTATATAGACCTCTATCTTATGCACTTTCCAGTGGGCTATAAGCACATGTGTGATGAGATTCTTCAGCCAATGGACGGCAATAAAGTTCAAACGAGGTAGGTCACCCGTAATGTTGGTTGGGGATTGAAACGTTTTAATTTCCAATTTTATCCAAAGCGACGTCGATTACATTGATACTTGGCATGCCATGGAGGAGCTTGTCAAGCTAGGAATGGTGCGCAGCATTGGTGTCTCAAACTTTAATATGGAGCAGGTGCAACGCATCATACAGTGCAGCTCATCAAAGCCGGTTGTGAATCAGGTGGAGATTTGGCCGGGCTTCATGCAAAAGGACCTGGTCGACTACTGCCGCTACAACGGCATCGTTGTTACGGCCTATGCGCCGCTTGGTCAGCCGGACCGTGAGATGCACTCTCCAATTTACTTCTTCTCCGAGGGAATGAGACGTCTCGTGAAGAAGTACAAGCGTACTGCGGCACAAATAGTGCTCCGCTACTTGGTAAGTGCCAAATTACAGCCCATATCCATAGAGAGTATAATTTTAAATCTCTTATTAGGTTGACTATGGTGTTGTTCCCATACCCAAAGCCGGCAATCCTCTACACATTAAGCAGAATCTAAACATATTTGATTTCCAGCTAAACGAAGTAGATACGCGCGCCTTGCGTGGCATTAAGCCTAAGGACCGATTAGTTAAATTTGATGAAGTCAAGGACCATACTTTCTATCCGTTCGAGAGAGAGGAGGAGCGAGAGCAACAGCCTGAAGAGTTTGAGCAGGAGGAAATACCCCCAAAGAGGGTAACGATACCGCCAGCAGAGCCCGCTGAAGGTGAAGAAGCTGAACCACCGGTTGAGTAGATACATGAATGGGACAAGCAACAAACTGCAATCACATGTTTATCTAAAAATTTATTGTGGAAGATAAAAGTGGTGTCAAGAAGCGAAAGAATGAAATATTTTTGTAGTGTATGCATTTACATTTGTTTATGTATATACCTAAGATAATCAGGGGTTAGTATCACAATAATGTGAAACGATCCTCGAAACCGCCAACTATTGAGCTTTTAGTTTAATGTGTAACTAAGTTTTTCTTGCACATCAGTTGCTTGAATCATTTAAAACATTTGAAGCGTCAAACAGCAATGGAGTTTGCGCGGATCTATAAAAGCAGCGCATCCATTTCCCCGCACTATATAAATCTTGGTCGATATTAAATATACAGGATTAGGATGACAAACGTTCAAAACTTGCACTTGCAGGGAAGGAGTTATCCTGTATAAAGGTCTGATATACCCTATACAATATTCAAAGTTAATGAAAAATTAAAAACAAGCTGAACTGACCTTCTGCAGTTTATCATTGTTTAATAATTTGTCAGTAAAGATTATAAAGACATGACTGTAGATAAAGATAAGCCAAAAAGACCTGCAACTTGGGTGTCAATTACATCCTTACTTTTATAATTTCGCGTTCTTATGCTTGGCCGAAAATAATGCTTCGATAGTGCTTTATGGCCCATCTGACGAGTCAACAATCATTATAATTATAATGACGGCCCGTAAACCGCACCACAGGGCATATATAAAGCAGCTAAGTGAGAGATTTCAAATCAGTTCGTGATATACAGGCGCAATATGATCAGATTGTGGGCAATAGTAGCTATTCTAGCTTTGGGCTGTGCTGTGGCGCAAGAAGCGGATGAGCCCAAGTGCGGAGTTTGTCAGAGCGGAAACGATGCGCTCTGCGTCACGGAGACCTCATATTACAATTGCTTTGGTAAGTGGAAAAGCATATTTGAAAAGACATTTGCTGATAATCCGATTTTATTCAGGTGGTAACAAATATGGAAATGAGATTGAATGCGATGAGGGCTTCGTTTGCACCAATGCCGATTCCATATGCGTGAAGAAAACTGAACTCGAGGAACTCCCTGACTTAGTAAATGTGTGTGGCAGCGGCTCCAGTGGCTGCGGGGTTTGCTCCACTAATCAAAAGTACACCTGTGTCAGCAATAATCAAGCTGGACGTTGTATTAATGGCAAAATATCCGCCGTAGTTAATTGCAAAGAGAATGAGATATGTGTGGCTGACATTGGATTAACAGATGTTTCCGTCTGTGTGCCACAGTGTGCGGCGGATTATGTAAGTAGCTCTTAAGAAAGTTCTTTGCTTGCGGAATTTTATATAAAATGTTTGCAGTTCAAAAAGTCGCCCACCTGCAGTGAGGATGTTAGCTACTCCACAACCACTGCGGCGCCAGCCACAACAATCAGTCCAGCTGACCGAGTAGCCATCTGCGCGAGGGAATCAAGTGGAGTGACCACATTGTTTTTCTATGCTTATGCCGATACGTCATGCAAGTCCGCCGTATACTGCCAGCGGAACAGTCTTACCAGCGCCGATTGGGTAACCTTGACAAGAACATGCCCATCCTCCACGCCGTACTTCGATACGCGCACCAAAAATTGCGTGGCTACCAAGCCGGCTAGTTGTCCCCAATAGTCCCAATAAGAAATTTCAGTCCCATAAACATTTGCTATTCAATAAACATTTGCTATTTAATTCATGAAGCTTTAAGTCGATTTCTATAACAAAAGTTCTTGAAAAACGATTCACATATTCATCAAAATATACAAAATTAAATACTTATTAAAAATGTAATGTTTAAATTTGTTATGAATTCGGTATCTGATTGATTTGATGCAGTAATTAAACGTGGGAGCGTATTTGTAAATAAATACATTTGAAATACGAAAGAATGGCTAAGTTCGGCACGTGGAAGATTAAATAGCTTTGCCTGGATTAGGCCAGGTCAGGTCAGGTCCTTTAGACAGAATCTAGAATACAAACGTCTCGGACTCTCCTTTAACAGCGGATAGACGGGCCTATGATCTGAGAAAGTAGTTAACATGAAACCTGATCGATGGACATGGCTATATCGACATGTCTGTTTGTACTGATCAAGGATATTTATATTTATATATATACTATGGGGTCGGAGATGTCTTCTTGTATGCGCTACATATTTGTTAACAAGCAATAAGTTGCTTTAAGGATTGTATTACTTAAGATTTGCTGGGCTCAAAGAGGTTTCCTGTATTAATCACAATTGGCTTTATTTTATTTTATATACTGGCTAGCAGAGTGAAGAGAGTATATATATATAAAAGGCAATATATATCTGTATAAATTTGAATTCTAACTTTGCACTTAATACAGCTGCTGAGCTCTACAGATCTATCCAAATACATATATCGCCTGCTCCCGCTACAGAGGCGTGACGAATCGGGAAGCTGTATATATCTTAAAAAATGTATCATATTGGGCCGTGAATGGGTATAGCTCGGTTGTCTTCAACTCTTAAGCTCTTAAATACTTAATATTTCGCCAGTAGAGATAAAAAGAGATGGCCATTGATAAAGATAAGCTAAGTATTTCTGTATTCTTGGGAAAAAGACAGGGAACTTTGGTCGTATAATTTTTACAATCTGTCGTTGTTATGCTTTATGGTCCATTTGACGAGTCAACAATCATTATAATGACAGGACCCATAAACCAAATCGTAGCAATACAAACTGAAGGCTATCATTTGAGTATATAAGCTAACCTAGTGGGATAGCTCGAAACAGTTCGTGATATGCAGCCAAATTGAAAGCTCGAAAAATGATCAGATTGTGGGCAATAGTAGCTATTCTAGCCTTGGGCTGTGCTGTGGCGCAAGAAGCGGATGAGCCCAAGTGCGGAGTTTGTCAGAGCGGAAACGATGCGCTCTGCGTCACGGAGACCTCATATTACAATTGCTTTGGTAAGTGGAAAAGCATATTTGAAAGGACATTTGCTGATAATCCGATTTTATTCAGGTGGTAACAAATATGGAAATGAGATTGAATGCGATGAGGGCTTCGTTTGCACCAATGCCGATTCCATATGCGTGAAGAAAACTGAACTCGAGGAACTCCCCGACTTAGTAAATGTGTGTGGCAGCGGCTCCAGTGGCTGCGGGGTTTGCTCCACTAATCAAAAGTACACCTGTGTCAGCAAGAATCAAGCTGGACGTTGTATTAATGGAAAAATATCGGCCGTAGTTAATTGCGAAGATGATGAGATATGTATGGCTGACATTGGATTAACAGACCTGTCCGTCTGTGTGCCACAGTGTGCGGCGGACTTTGTGAGTACCCCTTTATGGATATTATTGCTTACGGTATTTTATAGGAATATTCCATAGTTGAAAAAGTCGCCCACCTGCAGTGAGGATGTTGTATACACCACAACAACTGCGGCGCCAGCCCCAACGATCAGTCCAGCTGACCGAGTAGCCATCTGCGCGAGGGAATCAAGTGGAGTGACCACATTGTTTTTCTATGCTTATGCCGATACGACATGCAAGTCCGCCGTATACTGCCAGCGGAACAGTCTTACCAGCGCCGATTGGGTAACCTTGACAAGAACATGCCCATCCTCCACGCCGTACTTTGACATTTACAAAAGAAATTGTGTGGCCACTAAGCCAACTAGTTGTCCCATCCCTTCAACTGTTCCACCTGTGACTACTGCTATACCTGACACTACAACTGACTCCACGGCCGTTCCAGCTGACACTACGGCTGGTGAAACGGGCACAACGGCTGTTACAACTGGCACTACGGCTGATTCAACTCAGACTACGGCTGTTCCAACTGAATCTACGGCTGTTACAACAGGCACTACGGCTGGTGAAACCGTCACAACGGATGTAACAAGTGACATTACGGCTGGTGAAACGGGCACAACGGCTGTTACAACTGGCACTACGGCTGATTCAACTCAGACTACGGCTGTTCCAACTGAATCTACGGCTGTTACAACTGGCACTACGGCTGGTGAAACCGTCACAACGGATGTTACAAGTGACATTACGGCTGGTGAAACGGGCACAACGGCTGTTACAACTGGCACTACGGCTGATTCAACTCAGACTACGGCTGATCCAACTGAATCTACGGCTGTTACAACTGGCACTACGGCTGGTGAAACCGTCACAACGGATGTTACAAGTGACATTACGGCTGGTGAAACGGGCACAACGGCTGTTACAACTGCCACTACGGCTGGTGAAACCGTCACAACGGATGTTTCAACTGTCACTACGGCTGGTGAAACCGTCACAACGGATGTTACAAGTGACATTACGGCTGGTGAAACCGTCACAACGGCTAATCCAAGTGGCGAGACCAACACTCCGACCTAGTTATTTAACTAGCAGTTAAAGCAAGTTTGAAACCTTTCTTATAACTAAAATCATTCAGATTTATATTATTTTTGTAACAATAATAAATACTGCTCCAAATATATTGATTAAATTTTAAATATCTTACATGTATGATCGAGTAACAATTAAAATTCTTAGTATATTGGTAATTTCCATGGTAATACAATTTTATGTGTCAGCAAAAAGAATGGGTTAAGTTCTCAATTCTCTCGGCCTTAAACGCCAATAGAAAATGTGTCTACATATATGCATGCATATAATTGCGTACGTCATAATTTCTAAATATGTGATTAGAATACGATATTCACGTTTTCGACCACTGTCGGCTGATTTATGGCGCGGGCAGATGCGTTGTGCCTCAGTTTAAGTTTTTACATACATAGAAAATAATCTTATTTTATTGCTAGTTGTGCGGCATGGCCACACACACGCACACATAAATATAGACATATGTACATACATGAGCGCTATACAATGAAAAGTTCTTATTTAATGATTCTTAATATTTCATCGAGACAAAAGCAATATGAAATGTTGTCGTTGTTGTTGTTTGTAATGCTGCAACCTGGCTGGGCGGCGCGCCTTCGCTGGCAGCGATTGTCGCGGCAATTAAATATTAAATCAAATGAATTGCAGAAAACTGCAAAGCTGACACTGAATGACGACGAGCAGGAGGCTGTGGCTGTAGTCTGCGGTCTGTGGCAGAGGCCGTTAAGGCGGCTGTGACTGAGTCTATTTGGCTGGCCACAACTAAATGCGCAAATGGAAATTATGGCCATTGACGACGCACGATCTGCCTGGCACACTATACGTGGGCAGCGGAGAGTGTACAAACTGCAAATAGAAACGACCACATTATTGAATGTACATATAGGATTATTTAGAGAAGCAAAATGATGGATTGCTGATGCCTGCTGGTACAGACCTTTGGCACTTTCTGCGTTGTGGCCATGTAGCCGACACAGAACGATTGGGTTGTATGACTCCACATCACCTCGCCGCAGCTCTGTTTCGGATAGTAGAGCAATGTCAGTGCACCGGCATAGAGATCCTGCTGCTGCGGCAACAGCGGAGAGTCCAGGAACTTCTGCTTAAATGTTTTGTGCAGACTGGTTACAGCACAATCGCTGCCAAAGGCGCCATTGCATATCTCTCGGGCGAGCAGCGTTTTCATCAGATACTCACCATTGCCCGTCGTGCACGTAGCAATGGCCAATTCATCGGTATCCGTGGCCCAACAGCCGGCGCCGTAGGTCGCTGCCTGGCCCACGCGACCTGGTACTTTGAGTAGAATGCCACCGGAACTGCAGCCGGCAGCAGTATTGCCGGAGCCATCAACGCACACAGCGCCGACGGTGTCCAGTGCGGCCGTTAACTCCACCTCGTTGCTTGGCTCGGGCACTGGCTCTTCAACGGCCTTGCTGTTGCCGACAACTATATCGTATTTGCTCTTATAATGATTATAATGGAATTTCGCTTTTGATGAGATCAGCACGTTGGGATCGACCATTGCACAGCCCATTTGTTCAGCAAACTGCTCTGCCCCACTGGCTGCCAGAACCATCGGCGGTATGCGTTCCAGTGGCTGTTGATCCGACTGGCCGTCACAAATCCGACGCGCTAGCTGAATGGGATTCTTGACGCGGCTTACATTGGTGCATGCCCCAAAATTGAGCGTGGTGCCGCTCATGATGGCTGCATCGCACTGCACTGAGCCGTCCAAGCATAGATTGGAACCAAAGCCGGCGTTTGTATGGCCACAGTTCTCCAATCGCATTATAGCTGCCTCGCAGGCATCGATGGCGCTGCCGCCGTTTCGTAGGATTTCTGTAGCTCGTATGCATGCCTCTTTGATGACACGCTGGTATTTCGTTTCGTCGATGCAATTTCCAGCTCCTGAGAGGAATATGCGTGTTAAACTCATAAATAAAAACACATCATCAATCAAAACGAACCAGTATGCACCGCTACGAAACCAGCCATGTTGTTGTTGTGTTGTTGCTGCTAACGCCAAATGCACTTGCGTTTGCGGCCTTTGTTTACGACGGACGAATGCTATTTTAGTATTTGTTTGTTTAAACAAATTTGGAAGCTGAGACTGCAACGACCGTTTGCTAAATGCGCTAAAATACTGATTCTATTATGAATGTACTAAAAATACTGAGGAATGTGCTTTACAATACTGGTCTAAAAGAGCATTAGGGGTATCCAAAACTTGTTATATGTCGTTGATTGAATGGACGAAAAACTGTTGATTGCAAGTTGTTATATGAATAAATATGCATTGGTGTCTGTATGTATTTATGTTATCTTACTCTTAGTGCAGCTTAAATCACATAATTAGTAACTCCTCCTTATAAAATACGTATTTTCAAATGTTGCCCTCCTCCGCGATTCTCATGAATTTAAGTAGGACTTGCAGGTCTTCATGCCCTGCTGTAAAGTGAAGTGATAATATAGTGTGTGTGTTTGTGTAAAAGTATTTATTAATGCTAATATGTTTGTATGTATGTAGTAGTGGGCACAGCTGTACGTGCGTATGTATTTGACGTTTATATATATGTACCTATCCGTACATTTGCATCTATTTAAAGTCTTAATTTTTAATTTAAATAACTTTTGAAAATTAATATTGATGTAATAACTCGTTCGGTTGCGCAGATATCGTTTTTTACGATAGTTTGGTATTTTTAGTTGAATAAAATGTGGTATTTTAAGTATTTGCCGTTCCTGGCCACATACATTTGTGACCGTGATTTTTGCAAAAACTAAGTATTTGCAAATAAAAAGAGTAAGATTTTTAATTTAAAAATGTAATTAACCTCTGTAGTATGAAATAGTACTTGAGATATGTACCCATGTCTCTAAACAATTTCAAGATCCATTATACAAAGCAAGTGCAAGTGAAATGTGAAGAAAGTGATTGTTTGTCCAATCCGAACAACTGTTTGTGTATTTGTGTTTATTGTGTGTGACGTCTGGCTGCACTTGTTATACACTAATACCAATTAAAATATGTAAAAGAAAGGAAAAACAACTGCAATATTGCAACGCAAAAAGTCAACAGATTTTTCAGCAAGTTATCCCACATTAATCTACTGCGCGAGTCTTTAAAACACGCATTTAATAAGTACCTACGTATTAATAAAAATGGACACACTCCCATTAAAAGGTAGCAGAGAGGCTGCAGCGGAAGGCAACAACTACATAACCGCATATCAAACAGTCATGAAAAAGGTACGTAATACTAGAGTATCAACCTATATGATATTTGATACGAGCTCGAGCGAACTGCATACGAAATATGTGCTCATACATAAATTATTTGGCACATTTGAGGGGCGGAAATGGCTTTGTAAAAGTGTCTACGTGGGTGTCTCAGCTAAACAGCTGAGCAGCCGCCTTTACGCTTGGCCCTGCCCTTTGCCCATGCACGGAGCCGAAAATGCCACTTAATCTTATCAGTATCAGTGGGTAAACAAAGATCTATTATGTTGCCCAAGCTTTGTTCATGGCTGGAATAATGTTCATGCTAAACGCGAGCCCAGCACAATTTATCGATATAGCCTAATAGCCTGACTTATCGCTGTACTCTATAATTTCACAGTCAAATGGCCATAGCACAGGAAGCGGAGAGGGTGATCATCCGCTGGCGCCACATTCCAAACTATCCTATGCGGCAGCAACCACATCACTGACTGCAGCCACAGACGATGAGGATATGATAGACATCACGCCACGCTCCAGTCCAGGCGAACTGATCGTTGGGGCTGGCGGCTATCGTCGCGAGACTGCCACCGAATCGGATACGGAACGCGACTTTGCGCCAAGTCAGCGAACAATACACCATCATCAGCATCAACATGTGCCAACTCACAGCGCCTTCGGAGATCCCATGGACGGTGAGTGGCCAAGCGCAGCTATTTCAACACAACATATCTATACGAGTGTGTGCCTTGATTTGTTAATCTTACTCACGAGCTCGCGGCCGGCGACGTCACATCAATTGTGACTGTGTAGCTGTACTTGCGTTTATTGCTTTTATTAAACACATGCGTGTCTGTATGTATATGCGGGCTGCTACTCGTTTTCATTTAATTCATGTACATTTAAATAGTAGACAGACATGTGCATAATTCCCAGTATAATACGAATATCATTTAATTGCGAGCCGTGGGTTCGCATGTCGATAAGCAATACTTTTTATGAGACAGCTTTTCGATGAAGTCTTCAATTTTAGGAATTGAAAAATCAATTTTAAATTGTAAAAATTTGATTTGTATTCTGTATTCACATTCACCTGTCGCATAAAATACTAATTATAAATAGTTTACAGCCGCTGATCAAGATCCGAATATGCTTTAACGGTCATACAGTCGTCCAATTCAAAATGTACCCAATTGATAAACAATCTAAATGAGAGTATTATTTATTTTGCGCTCATGTACACCGCTTTAGGAGCACTTTCGTTCTATGGCTCCTCGGACGTACAGGATGACATACCTGGAATTGGGCAGTACGAAGATTTCCACACCATCGACTGGCAACGTGATATCGCTCGCGATCGTATGCGGCATCGTTATATAGTCAAAAAGCGGCAGGATTCGTTTTGGGATTTGATCAAGGTAAGCCACATGGAAATAGCTTATTGCGCTCTAAACTAATGCTTGTTTTTATTCACAGGGAGCCATTGATGCTGGCTCCGGTTGGCTATGCGTTCTACTTGTGGGCATAGCAGCGGGTTGTGTGGCGGGCATGGTTGATATAGGTGCCAGCTGGATGTCGGATCTGAAGCACGGCATATGCCCGACCGCGTTTTGGTTTAATCGCGAGCAATGCTGCTATCCAGCTAAGCAATCTGTCTTTGAGGAGGGTAACTGCTCCACGGTGAGTTTTCATTTAAAAATTACATAATTATATCACCTGATAACTTTTATTTTAGTGGAAAACATGGCCCGAGATCCTTGGGCTCAGTCGCACTGGCACGGGACCGTACATCATCTCATATATTTGGTACATTTTATGGGCATTGCTGTTTGCTTCACTGAGCGCGTCGCTGGTGCGCATGTTTGCCCCGTACGCCTGCGGATCTGGCATACCGGAGATTAAGACTATATTGTCAGGCTTTATTATACGCGGCTATTTGGGAAAATGGACACTGCTGATTAAATCGGTGGGCTTGATGCTCTCTGTGTCGGCAGGTTTGACGCTAGGCAAGGAGGGACCCATGGTGCATATTGCCAGCTGTATTGGCAATATATTTTCGCATCTGTTTCCCAAATATGGACGAAACGAGGCCAAAAAGCGTGAAATTCTATCTGCAGCATCTGCCGCTGGCGTCTCGGTGGCTTTTGGCGCGCCCATTGGCGGAGTGCTCTTCTCTTTGGAGGAGGTGTCCTATTATTTCCCACTGAAGACACTGTGGCGTTCGTTCTTCTGTGCGCTCATTGCAGCTTTTGTTCTACGCTCACTGACACCATTTGGCAATGAGCATTCCGTGCTATTCTTTGTAGAATACAACAAGCCTTGGATATTCTTTGAGCTGATTCCGTTCGTCTTTCTGGGAATCATGGGAGTAAGTAGCACACTAGAGCATTATCTGTATGTTGTTATACTTAACTTCTATTATCTTTTTAGGGTGTCATTGGAACATTCTTTATTAAGGCAAATTTGTGGTGGTGCCGCTACAGAAAGTTTAGCAAGTTGGGTCAATATCCTGTTAGTGAAGTTCTGTTTGTCACACTGGTCACTGGTGTAATCTGTTATCCGAATCCCTTCACGCGCATGAACATGAACGAACTGATCTTTCTATTGGTTAGCAAGTGCTCGTCTGGGGATCTCACCAATCCCTTGTGGTGCGTATAATAGTTATTAGATTATCCTAAGTTAACTAATCTTGCTAATTATGCTATAGTGACTACAAGCGAATGAACATCAGCACAGGCACCAGCTTTATCGAGGTGACTGAACCAGGTCCCGGCGTCTATCGTTCCATTTGGCTGCTCGTTTTGACATTTATACTTAAACTGGCCCTGACAATTTTTACATTTGGCATTAAGGTGCCTTCGGGTCTGTTTATACCATCCCTTTTGTTGGGCGCAATTATGGGACGCATTGTTGGTATCGGCGTGGAGCAGTTTGCGTATAGTTATCCCAACATTTGGTTCTTTACCGGAGAGTGTGCCGACAGCAATCTGATTACACCCGGTTTGTATGCAGTTGTTGGCGCTGCTGCTGTTCTCGGGGGCGTAACGCGCATGACTGTCTCCCTGGTTGTCATCATGTTCGAGCTGACTGGTGGCGTGCGCTATATTGTACCACTGATGGCGGCTGCCATGGCCTCCAAGTGGGTGGGCGATGCTCTGGGCCGACAGGGAATATATGATGCGCATATTGCGTTAAATGGCTACCCATTTCTCGACAGCAAAGAGGAATTTGCACATACAACGCTTGCGGCAGATGTCATGCAACCCAAACGAAATGAAACATTAAATGTCATCACACAGGATTCCATGACGGTGGACGATGTTGAAAATCTACTTAAGGAGACCGAGCACAACGGCTATCCTGTTGTGGTGTCTAGAGAAAATCAATATCTAGTTGGCTTTGTGCTGCGCAGGGATCTTAATTTGGCTATTGGTGAGTGAATGGCTTTTTCATAAAAATCGTTATACTTAATTCTACTTTTATGGGCAGGTAACGCAAAGCGTCTAATCGAGGGCATTAACAGTAATTCAATAGTATTATTTACGTCCACGACACCCACACAAAATCTGGGCCCATCACCACTTAAACTAAAGAAGATACTCGACATGGCGCCTATCACAGTGACAGATCAAACGCCCATGGAAACTGTCGTCGACATGTTCCGCAAATTGGGTCTGCGTCAAACGCTTGTCACACATAATGGGTAATATGATAATAGTATGTGTGCAAATATTTTCTCTAAACATATTAACTGTTTGCAGTCGCTTGTTGGGCGTTATAACGAAAAAGGATGTTCTCCGCCATGTTAAACAAATGGATAATGAAGATCCCAATACTGTGCTCTTCAATTAAGTTGAATTTATTAGCCAATCAGCAGCTAGGCAGATGCTTAGTTATTATTATTATTATTATTATTACCTGTACTATCGCAAAACCAACAAAATTGTATATGATTAAGCCGAAAGTTGAGCACGAGAATAGTGATTAGTAAATTTACGATCTGAGCGTCGAGCGTGAGAGATTTAGCAGAATTGTGTGCAGTACTACTACATATACATATATATGTATAGTATATATTAATAGGGATATAATAATACACATACATGTTTGTCTCGTTAATGTTAATTGTATAATTTATTGAAAACAAGTGCAAATGATTGCAACATATTCATTAATTTCTGCTTTGTAATTATGTCATTGTAAACGTATTCAAAATAATATTTTCTATTTTCTACATATATTTTAATTATAAATGCCCATGTTATTTTTATATACCTATGTACATCACGCGCGTATTGAATGAGTGTTTGGACTAAGAAAAGTTTTTTTATGTAAAAGTATGTACGGAAATCGAGCAATTTTTAAGCTGGCGGCACAGGCAATGGAGTGAGTGGAATGTTTTTAACTGAAAGAAAATTAAGATGAAAGTTCTTTGTTTTGCATTTTATTTAAAATTCATATTTACATATATATTATATAAATACATATATCAAAATATTGTGTTTTGTTAGAGATCTGTGAAATTTTAATCTAAACTCGTGTAAATAGCAGCATTAAAAGATGATGAAACCATGAATAAACGTAAGCGCAGCTATGTATAAAATCAAAAAAACTATATTTAATCAATCTTAAGTTATTTGTATTTGTAAATTTGTACAGTCCAGATTACCTCTAATTCAGCATGTTGTAATAGTCGATCTCGCAGCACATGATATTTTTCTAAGGCTGCGTAGGCCTTGCGTTTAACTTTAACTTCAGTTAGAGCAAGAAAATATGGAAGGTGTTATTTAAAATTCATTTTAAAATTTGGAAATTACCAACATGTTGACTGCTTTGGGGAGATTGGCAACGGGTAAGAGCAGGACATATGCGCATATGTAATGTCAAGGCGATTAATTTGATTTTTTAAAGCATGTCCTAAAATTGGCTTCAAGGGGTTCACTCAAGGAGGACGCCACCCGTACGGTCAACCGTCAATGGTCAAAAGCCCCCTGGAGCAACAAGGTCTCCTACATACTGGATCGGTATTCTACAAGGAAAAATCGAAGGGCGCAGGCAAACCTGAAAATGCGGCCAAGACCCCATTCAAGTGCGATGATCTAAGTAAGTTATGTCCAGATCCTTGTGTCGATGATGAAGAAATGGATGCAATTGCTGAACACGTCGGCGGTAAATGCGAGAGGGATCCCTGCTCCAGGGTCAGAGAGCCTTGTGAGTCATATATCAAGACACATATAGGTGGAACGAAAAAACCTTCCAAGAAAACGGGCTCCAATAAAACAGAGACTAAACCCATTCCAATACCAACTGCCTCAGAGAATAAGGCAGAGACTAAACCCATTTCAACACCAACTGCCTCGAAGCACAAGGACACTACCTCCAGTAAATTAGCGACTGACGCAAATAAGAAACCGACAACCTGTAAGAAAGAAAAGGCTGCCTTTAGTAAAAAGTCGATTGCCTCCCAAAAGACTGCCCCCAGTAAGAAACCGATTGCCTCTACTAAAAAACCGGCTTCCTCCAGTAAAGTACCGATTGATTCAAATAAAAAGGCTATCTGCAAGAAAAAACCGACTGTCGCCAGTCAAATAAAGGATACGTCCAATGGCAAACCGACTACCAATGCAAAGACCCCCGCCAAAAAGAAGTAAGATGTAAAGCAACAAGACTAATGATCAAATAATATAAAGACAGCCAACCAATTGGTATTATTCCAATGCCAGGAACCCCATCAAAAAAAAGTTAAACTGTTAAGCACCAAAATTAATAATTATTTAATATAAAGACATCCTTCCAAGCAATTTGTATATGAGTATTATTCACTAAAATTGTTTTCGATATAGAATATCTGAAATTCATTGCCATAAAGACCCGTGATTAGCCAGCAGCCATTGTCGCTGATGCGAATGAATTGGCCACGACCGCGCAGTACGCCCTTGACGTGGCCACGAGCTCCATCGCTGATCCTGTAGTAGTCCAAGGCACCGTCGCTGCTAGGACAGTAGATGATGTTGGCGTCACGGCTGCAGGCGATTGCGTTCTTGAAGGGCAGCGGAATTTGCACAATTAATTGGGCGGTGTCCTATTGAGGAATAATATACATAAGCATAATAATAATTTCGGAATTTCTTATATCAATACCTCCTCCTCGTGTCGCATATCGTGATAGTAGGTCTGTCCGCTCAGATCGCAGCTAACCACAATTTGGTGGCCATCCATTTCGGTTTTTTGCAGGGTAGACACCATGAATCGATGCCTGCGCAGGGCAAGCAGCTGTAGCTGCTTGTTGGATCTATCGGCAGCTGGCTGGCGGCTTGTGCTCCAGCAGCGATAGACGCCGCCATTGTTGGTGCCCAAAACGAAATCGTCCAGGCCCAGCGACACCATAGTCGTTAATTCCGTGGCCACTGAGGCTGGCAACGAATATCTAAATAGCACATTTAGTCAGGTAAAACTTTTCTATGTGTTTTATCTACAACTTACTCCCAATCCAAGGTCATTTGCTTGGCCACCAGCCACTGCAGCACCGTGCCATTGGCATAGCAGGCAAGCAGACGCTGCTCCGTAACCCAATCCAGTGCCACGGCAGCACCATATGTGGAGGAGACGCTGTGCAGCTGTTTTACTTCCGCGCTCGAGTCACCGCCAGCACGTGCCTGCTCGTATAGCCAGACAAAAAGCTCGCCATCCATGGTGGCGCCGGCAAACATTTGCTTGTTGAATCCATTGGTGCACAGGCTACGCAGGCAGGATTTCAGTGGCAGAGCTTTGGCCTCCGAGTATACCACAAAATTTCCATGGGACATACGCTGCGGCACAAAGAGCTTCAGCTGTTGCTCCACATGCTCACACCAGTCGTCGTGGGGTGCCACCGTCGTAGCCACCAGCACGGGCGCATTATTTGTGTGCACGCACAGCCAAATAGCCAATCCCTGCGAGTTTTCGACGCTGTCCATGGTTAGTTTCTGGTAGGTGTGCACCTGCAACTGCTCCTCCAGCGTGCACTGACTCGACTGCTGATCCTCCATGAGTGGCGTCGGCTGGCTTAATTCCTGCTCCACCAGTGGGCATATCTGCCGCAGCCATTTGGCCAGGGCACGCTCATCGTAGTCAACGCTCTTACTGCTGCAGCACTGCTCCGTTTGTGTGGCCACATGCTGCATCTCCTGCGTCTCGGTGCCAGCGTCCAAGCTAAGCGGCGGCGGATCCGTGCCCGTGCAGTTGTCCACCAGAGCATTTTGCTTCTCTATCGGCTGAGTAGCTGGAAATTCGATCACCGGAGAACTATAATGGGAAAGCACGTCCATGCTGCAAATGATTCAATATGCTTCAGACAACAGGGCTTACCCGTTGGCATAGCAACAGTCAACAACTGAAAAAGGTACCACCCCTGAAGGACTTATTCGCCAGATATGCAATACGAGAATGTGTTAATATTGTCTTTGGTCGATCGCTCAGTTTACGAACCTAATTTCTACCTCAGTTCGTTAACCGAGTTTCCTGAAATCCACATTTTGTTTAGACATATTTTCTTAATTTAAATGAAATAATTCCTTTTTAAATGCATAATTGCCCGATCTACTGAAAATATCACATGTCCTAGATATTTTCAAATAGAAGTTGCGGGCTAGATTTCTTCAAAAGTTTCGTTTTAAGCTGAACTAGTTTAAAGTTATCGATATGCTTATCGCACTTTCAATACTTAATTCGATTAAGTCTTATCGATATCAAGTTAAAATGTATCGATAAGTGTTCTTACCGTAATTTCAACACTAATAAATTCGCTTTAACGGGAAACGGAATAGAAGGCCTTGACTGAGCAGAAGATTGAAAATTTCTCATAAAAAATAAACTTTCATTAGCAAACGTGGCTGACTCAAGTGCAATTAATAAATAAATGCGAAATTGAAAAAAAAATCCATTGAAAATATATTAAGAAATAATAAGACCCACTTTTCCAGTATAAAGGCAAAAGATATCCAATATGTTGATCTGGACAAGATTGGCCACGGGTAAGCGTAGGAATTTGGCACATGTGACCTGAAAAGTTTACTGAGCTGGCTTAATTATTTAAAGCCTGTGCCAGAATTGGATTTAAGACAAGTCAGCAAGGAGGGTTAAGCCCACAAGGGCAGGCGGCAAACGTGAAACTCTCATTACAGACGCGCACACTTCATACTGGGCGCATGCTCTCCGCGGATGAAGACGACAAGTGTAAGACCGATGAGTCCTTCTTTAAGCCTTTGTGTCCCGAGGATGACAAGAAAGAAGTAGTTGCTGAAAAAGTGAGCGGTAAGTACCAAAAAGATCTGTGATGGGCGTCCTTTAAGTTATTTGTCAATGAACATTTCGGCGGTGGAGGAAAAGACGATTCTTGTGAAGATGAGACTGGTAAAGGCAAGCAGGGCGGAGAAGGAGCAGGAGCAGCTACGGGACAGTTGGTTGGCAAACGCCGCGAGGGCATTATCCATGCCGTAATTGGGCCCGTCATTGATGTTTACTTTCCGGAGGAGGTGCCCGAAGTGCTGAATGCCATGGAGATACAGGATGCGCCAATCGGTCGTCTGGTATTGGAGGTAATCTGTTCATTCAATACCTGCGTTATTTTACACTTAAAAAGCAATTTAGGTCTTACATCATTTGGGCAATAATGTGGTCCGCTGCGTCGCTATGGATTCTACAGATGGCTTAAGGCGTGGCCAGAAAGTTTTGGATACCGGATTTCCGATTCGAGTGCCCGTGGGCAAAGTGGTATTGGGTCGCATTGTGAACGTGGTGGGTGATCCAATAGACGAACGCGGCGAGATTAAGAGCGAGTTTTACTCTTTCATACATAATGAAGCTCCGGAATTGATTGAATTAAATGTTAAGCCGGAGATATTGGAGACAGGCATCAAGGTAATCGATCTTCTGGCACCCTACGTAAAGGGCGGAAAAATTGGTCTCTTCGGTGGTGCTGGCGTGGGCAAAACTGTGCTAATTATGGAACTAATCAGTAATATTGCTAAAACGCACGGCGGCTATTCCGTGTTTGTTGGCGCCGGGGAGCGCACACGCGAGGGTAACGATCTGTATCACGAAATGATCGAGACCAAGGTGATTTCTCTAGAGGACGACAGCTCGAAGGTGGCGCTCGTCTATGGCCAGATGAACGAGCCGCCGGGAGCGCGCAGTCGTGTGGTTTTGACTGGTCTGACCATTGCCGAATACTTTCGGGACATCGATGGACAGGACGTATTGCTTTTCATAGACAACATCTTTCGATTCACCCAGGCCGGCTCCGAGGTGTCTGCGCTACTGGGTCGAATACCCTCCGCCGTTGGGTACCAGCCCACGCTGGCCACCGACATGGGCATGATGCAAGAGCGTATTACCAGCACCAAAAATGGCTCGATTACATCCGTTCAGGCAGTCTATGTGCCTGCCGATGATTTGAGTGATCCGGCGCCGGCCGCCACGTTCTCTCACTTGGATGCAACTACTGTATTATCGCGTCCAATTGCCGAACTGGGCATTTATCCGGCTGTGGATCCGCTTGATTCAACGTCTCGAGTTCTCGATCCCGAAATTGTGGGTGATGAGCACTATAATGTCGCCCGAGCCGTGCAGAAGACATTGCAGGGCTACAAGTCCCTGCAGGATATTATCGCTATTCTGGGCATGGACGAACTCTCTGAGGAGGACAAACTAACTGTGGCACGTGCTCGTAAAATGCAACGCTTTCTCTCTCAGCCGTTCCATGTGGCCGAGGTATTTACTGGTCATCCAGGCAAGTCGGTGCCCGTAGAGAAATCAGTGGATGGTTTTAAGCGTTTGCTAAACGGCGAATACGATGACATACCGGAAATTGCATTCTATATGGTCGGCGATATAGACGAGGTGCTGGCCAAGGCAAATCAATTGGCAGCTAGCATGGCTCCCGATGGACCTGCCACCCCATCAGCCAAAGATGACAAAGGAAAGAAAGACGGGGAAAAGAGTAAGGCGGACGACAAGGAACCCAAAGCAGAAGCTAAAGCGGACGCTAAAGCAGAAGATAAGGATTCCAAGGAAAAGAAGCCCGAAAAGGGCAAAGATGACAAGGACAAGCCCAAAAATGAGCAACCAAAATCAGAAGCTAAGGACAAGAAAGCTGAATCAAAAGACAAGAAACCTGAATCTAAAGACAAGAAGGATACACCAAAAGACAAAAAGGATGAACCAAAAGACAAGAAAAAATAAATTTTGTATTATGTATGCACAATATAATTGAAATATCCATTACATATAACATGTATACCGAAGAGTTATGTGTATAATGTTAAAAAACATGCGACAAGAAAAAGATTTTGTCTAATCCTATATTATTTTGTAATTAACAATAAATATATTAAATATAAACAAGCACGTTATAATTAATAGAATTAACTAATTCGACAATAGTGAGTGTTTATTGATTCCAATTTTAAATTTAAACTTGCGCGCAATTTTTTCGCTCCGAGCTATTCGAACTTTTCGGACTGAGCTGTTCGAACAGCTGATTTATATTCGGACTGAGCTGTTCGAACAGCTTATTTGTTTTCGGACTGAGCTGCTCGAACAGCTGATTTCGGGCCGGCTAAATTGTTGTGGTTACGTGCAAAATGTTGCGTGCATTTCATTTTGGTCTTGTCAGGCGCCTATATTCTGTGAAACCAGCTAAGAAAGATGCAAATAAATATACAGACACAATAAATCTGCCCAGAACGCGGTTTCCGAATCGCTTGAGTGCGGCCAAACGTGAGGAGCAGGAACGACAAGTTCTCGACGTAAATTATTATATCAAGAAGATTGTCCGCAAATTGGCCAAATGTACCAAATGCTTTTTTGCAGCATAAGATTGCGCCCGCCTACAAGTACCAGGAGCAGCACAAGCACAAGCCAACCTTTGTGCTGCACGATGGGCCGCCCTATGCCAATGGCCAGCTGCACATGGGCCACGCCGTCAACAAGATACTGAAGGATATTACGTTGCGTCAACGTGTGGTACACGGACAGCAGGTTAACTACATACCCGGCTGGGATTGCCACGGATTGCCCATTGAGCTAAAGGCATCAAGCTCAGCGGCTGGCGACCAGAATGCGTTGGACATACGGCAGAAATGTGACTGAATCTGTTAACATATTGAAAACTTGTGTAACTTCTTGTTATTGCAGCGTGCGCCTTTGCCTTGGAGGCCATCGAGTCGCAGAAGGCGGAATTTCGCAGTTGGGGCATACTGGCCAACTGGCAGCCGGAAGACATCTATTTGACCTTCAGGCCCGAGTTCATTGCCAACCAGCTGCATATGTTTTATAATCTATACGAGCGCGGCTTTGTCTATCGAGATCTGAAGCCCGTCTACTGGTCTCCCTCCTCGAAGTAAGCTACACTGCCATTGAGTGGTTATTCTTATGTTCTCTCTTATTTTTAATAGAACAGCGCTGGCGGAGGCAGAACTGGAGTATGATGCAAAGTTCATTAGCCCCTCGGTCTACTTGCGTTGTGCTTTGAACGGCTTGTCGGCGATTGAAGCGGCCCAGGGCAAACAAATCTATGCGCTGGTCTGGACCACAACGCCTTGGACCCTGCCCAGTAATCAGGCAATCTGCTACAATAGCGCGTTGGATTATGTGCTGGTCAGGCTGTTGGACCGCGGACCAAATGAGCTTTATTTAATGGCCACAGCACTTATTGCAGATTTTGAGGCCAGCACGCAGCTTCAGTGTGAGATTGTGGAGCGTTTGGCTGGCAGCGCCTTAAGTGATTGCAGCTATCAACATCCCATAGACAAGACCCAAACAAAGCTGCCATTTTTTGACGCTACTCATGTGCAAGAGAGCAAAGGCACGGGCCTGGTGCACACGGCACCTGCGCACGGGCCCGATGACTTTCTGATTAGCCTGGCTAAGAAGTTGCCTGTCAAGTGCTACGTCAACGAGTCGGGCGTTTATACAGAAGAGGCGCCTGCATTTCTGCGTGGTCAGTCGGTGCTGGCGCAGGGCAATCCCCTGGTGTTACAACACATAGCCGAGGACGTTGTGCATGCCTCGAAGTTTGAGCATTCCTATCCGATTGACTGGCGTACCAAGCAACCGGTTATAATTCGGGCCAGCGAGCAGTGGTTCATAAATACGGATAAACTAAAGGCGCCCGCAGCTGCTGCCTTGGAACAGGTGGATATCTATCCGCGCGCTAATGCCGAGTCTAGTAAAAAAGCGCTGTTGACGCAGCTGCACAAGCGGCCCTATTGGTGCATATCCAGACAGCGTGCTTGGGGCGTGCCCATACCCGTGTTGTACAGACGAGACAACAATCAGGTGGTGCTAAATGCGGCTTTAATTGAGCATCTGTGTGGCTTGTTGCGTACCGAGGGCTCCATGGACTTTTGGTGGTCCAAACCGCTAGAGGAGCTGCTGCCGGCTGATCTCTTAAAGAAACTGGGCTGTGAGGCAAATCAGCTGATCAAGGGCAACGATATATTTGATATATGGTTCGATTCAGGCAGTACTTGGTCCGCGGTGCTAAAGGAGCAATCACAACAAGTGGCTGATCTTTATCTGGAGGGCTACGATCAGTTCACTGGCTGGTTTCAATCCTCGCTCTTGATGAGCATAGCGGCACGGAACTGTGCGCCCTATAGGTGAGTATTATTTTAATTGAAAACTATCTTAAATTTGCAACTAGCTCTTTTTATTTTGTAGGGCTCTCTTTGTGCATGGCTTTACGGTGGACGAAAAGGGCCACAAAATGTCCAAGTCACTGGGCAATGTGATTTCGCCCAAGCAGATAACCAAGAAATATGGCACAGATGTGCTGCGTTGGTGGGTGGCCTTCCACGGCACCCAGCACATGTCCATCACGGTCAGCGATAAACTGCTGCAGCAGTCGGCCGAGAATCTTAGCAAAGTGCGCGGTACACTGCGCTACCTGAACGGAGTCATCAATCAGAAGGAGCACAAGCTGTCCGATCCCACGCTGAATGATAGCTATTTGAATAAGTATCTGTTACACAACTTGTTGGGCTTTGAGCAGGAGGTAAGTCAACAATGCAGCAGACACAAGAGCAATTATTAATTTATTAATTTTAATGGCACAGATCCACAAGCTTTATAATGGCTATGAGTATAATCGAGTTGTGGCCAGCATTCAGAATTTTATTGCCAACCAGGTGTCGGGCATTTATGTGCATTTGATCAAGGATCGACTATACTGTGGCAACAACCAGGAGCTGCAAGCCATTCGCTACACACTGAGCCACTGTTATAGGCAGCTTTGCAAGGCACTGTGGCCCATAACGCCTTACCTAATCGAGGAAAGCTGGAGCTACTACGATCCAACTGGCAGCGCCTTCTACGAGGAAACAGTGCAAGCTAATAAAGATTGGGAAAATGTGCAGGCCAGCCAGATAGTAAATGCAGCATTGGATATTAAGCGCCTAGTGAACCAACAGGCAGGCGATGTCAACAGCTGGCATCTCGCAGTGAACATTAAATGTGGTTCACAGCAACAACTGGAAATGCTTTCTGCATTACATGGCCAGTTGAATGTGCCATTTTCGAACTCGGAACTGTGCGAGATTCTGCAAGTAGGCAGTGCAACGCTGCAGACTCAGTTGGACGCTGCAACGGACACAGCTGTGGTTACACTACAGACGCTCAACGCGCCGCTTTGTCCACGTTGTCGCCGCTATAGCGTGGTCGAGCCCGAGCAGGAGATCTGCAAGCGGTGTTCGGGCATTCTGTCTAATAAGAAATAGTTTTATAATATTGTTGTTTATATAGGTCGGTTGCGTAAAAGTTAATACATTTTATATTTAATGATTTCTAGAAACTCTGTAAGCATTTAAGCAGCGTGTCGCGTACTTTGAGACGCGTCGTTGGCTTGCCGCCACATATAATGTGAGTTTCATTGTCGTCGAACTTGATGGTGGTGTCTTCATTGATCAACTGCAGCGTGAGGTTGCCGCCGCTGCGGTCCATTTTAATGTTGGAGAAGCCATCCTGAGCCAAACGCTTCATCAGCGCATCCACATCGATGCTGCCATACTCATATTTGACATTCTTAAGCACGTCCTCTTTGGAGGGCGCAGCGCTTAGGCCGCCGCTGCTTGTACTGGGCTCATCTTTGATGCTGTCTGCACATGGCTGGATGCAGTGCACCTTGTCTTTCACCTGCAGCACACCCGTGAGTGTGGATAGCGAGACACCAGCCACCACCTCACGTGCCATTATCTTCTGTGCAAGTTCTGAGGCAATGTAAATGCGATCCAGCTTGCGTTTTAGTGGCAACCTGATGATCTCTCCGCATTTGAAGGTAATGATTTTCTTGTCCGGCTGTTCAATAAACAGATTGGCCGCTGCGGGATGGGGCTTTGTATATGCCTCCGGTATAACCAGCACATTGGGCTTTAGCTCCTTGATTAGCTTATTGGCCTGCTGGTAGTTCAGTGAGGTGTCGATGGGGCAGTAAAAGGCCTTCATAGCCAGCGGCTGGAATGGCGCCAATACTTGCAGGTATGGAAAATCAGGTTCCGTAAATATAATCGAGTTGTTTGGATTATTACCCCACATTTCAATGAAATGCACAGCATCACCGAAACGCAGGCTAGGATGACCGCAAAACACAACACAGGGCTGACCCCAGAAAAAAGGGAAACGATACGTTAAGCAGTCAAATTTGGATTTACGGTAATCTCACCTGTCTGAAGTCCTTGCTAAAGCCCTCGGAGAATACATGGTTATAGTGCTTCAGCTTGGAATTGCGCAGGTAGAAGGCGTGCGGAAAGGGGTCATCGGGCAGATAGACTTTGTTCTGCTTGGCCGAGCTCAGCCATTCGGCCAATATGTTAGAGTAGGCCAGCGAACTGTCCGCCACGGGCGATATGAAGAACATGGGCACATTGTTGAGACCAGCATTTTCCAGATTTTGCGTTAGGCACTCAAACAAGTCGTACACAACGCCCGATGGGTAACAGGGTATCAGAGCTGAGCCGTTGTTACGTATCGTCAGTGCCACGTTCATGCACAATTCGCCCAGCTTTGTGTCTGGATTAACAGTTGGCGCCTGCGTTAATCCGGTCATAATTAGTACATCGGCATGTTTGAGTGCCGACTGATTGATGGGACGCGGGTGCGTTGTTAGCGTTGAGGAGCCGCTCACGTAGCATATCTTCTCATGCGCAGTGCTCAGCACCCAATTGCTAGAGCCCAGGCAGTAGCCAGAACTGACGGGAGTTGCTATAAAGGCGCCTAGTATATCCAGTTTCTCATCATAGCCCATGATGGTCACTTTTGACAGACTTCCCTGGACATCCTTTAGACTGAAAATGGTGCGCCACTTCTTTGCACGAAAGGCTTCGTTCAATGGGCTGGGCAGCAAATGCAGTTTCTCCTTCCACAAACGAGCCGTGCAGGCCTTGGGCGACACTTCAATGTAATCCACCAGTTCTTCGAGAAAAAATCGGCCAATCTGTAGCGTTGGCTCCGTTGCATAGACCTTGCCTTTGAAGCCCGTGTTCTCCGTAATGTATGGCAGGGCCAGCATGTTAAGATAGTTTGAGATAAGTATGACATCCAGTTCACTAAAATCGAGCATTTTATCCATTGGCAAATTGAACTCCGGCACCGAATCCACAAACACTCGGCCGCAGCACTCTTTGAGTTCACCATCCATTTGAGGATCATGGTCGCTGCTGGGCACAAAGTTCGGCAGATTAGAGAGCTTCAGGCTTTGCACGAAGGGTAATGGCAGAAAGTTTAAAACCGTTTGCTCCGTCAAGCCGCAGTCCAGCATTATGCGGAGTCCCTTGAATGTGATGATGTAGCATGGTTTTGCTAAGTCACCGCTGAGACAATACTGCAATGGTATAATTTAGATTAATTTACATTGTCATTTCCGTTCATAAACATTTGTTATTTTGGGTTTTACCAATCTCATCCCGATAAAGTGCTAGCCGCCGTGACGACGCAAAGCAACACGATGACTGTTAGCATTGCAGATGTCTTTCCATAGCTTAACATTTGACAGATATGTTAATAACAGCGAGGGCTAACACAGCGCGCTATTTTTTGGAAAAACCTGCCATAGTCCGCTTATTACTTCAATACATTGAACTTTTTATCGTAGTAAATTAATTTCCTGTAGAAGTGTGTAAATGACTGTTGTTTTAATTTATAAATTAATTAATTTATAATGAAACCGCTGAAAATTGATCCCTACAGCTGTTAAACCATCGTTAGATTCATTACAGACCGACCGCCAAAACAGCTGCTTAGCCGAAGTTGAATAATGCAATATGGCAACGCTGTACACGCTCATATGCCGGCGTCTATTTAAAAAACAAAACTAAAGCAACATTCAATTTTGTTATATTTATTTATTATACAGTATGTCTCAGCAAATACGCGTTTTACAATGTGTGGAGTGCAGTTTATATCAGGTTCGATTTAAAAAATCTCTTAATATTATTAAACAGCCCTAATGTGCGAATACGTAGGTGGATATTGTCAAGAAGACAAACAAATGGGAGTGTAAAGTTTGCCGCTTTAAACAAATGGTACACAAGGAGTTCTTTCGTGGTTCCGGCGCTGAATGCCGTGCAAAGGTGCAACAGCTAAACCTGGAGCATGGCCAAAGGCAACAAGCACAGGAAGAGCGTAAAATCTTGGAGGCGCTTCAAAATGTGAAGTGCGACAGTTCTTCGGCTGCGCAGCTACCGCCATCTCCTCGCATCAAGGGTCCAAGCAAATGGGCTGATTATGTTGATGAACCGATTGCAGTGAATCGGTTTGGTCCTAAAACACATTCCCAAGACCAGGATGAGCAAGGTAATATTTCAATACATAGAAAGCAAAGTGGTTCCAGAAAGCGAAATGCTCAAAATGAATTTGTCGCTAATATAAAAGGGGCCTCAAAATGGCAAAACTTTTTGTAAATAAAAATGCACGCTTGCTTAAATTGTATATGTAGGTATTTTTATTAAAATTTGTTTGCTTTTGTTTATTATTTGAAACGCGTGGTGGAGGCAGTTGAGTATATGTATATAGTTTATCCCTATAGAGGATCAACGCCTCCACGGCTAATCGAATACATTTTGCATTAGTTTCTACATAGTATAGAAAGATGCCTTTAATTATTGTGTTAAATATTGTTAGTTGAGGGATACTATTTAATGCTGTTGCTTTCAAATTGGGCAATATGCTGGACACAACAATTAATGAGTGCCCAAATTTAATTAGTGTGAATGGAAATTGTTATAGTTATTGATCGTATTTTGTAACGCAATTAGATTGAGAAAAAAACTGTTATTCATATTTGTTGACAGCTACATATTCCTATTGATGAATTGCTTAGCACTTATGCCGTAGCGGGAGCTGTTGGGGTTGTATCCTTCTTGGCCACCTTCTCATCGGAACCAGTCTCTTCGATGTCGGCGGGATCCGCGTCGGTACCGGATGCTCCAGCCTTGCCTGATGAGCGACGTCGTTTGCGATTGATGCGCCATGGGCGCATTGGATATTTCATGGCCGGCAGCTGATCCATGCCAAGTACTTTAAACATCTGACGGAAAGCAATGTAACGCAGGAATAACTGTGACGAGACAGTGAGATCTTCGCGCTCCTGCTTGGTGAGTTGTTGCAGAGCATCGGTTGGATCCTTTTCACACGGATCCAGCAAGCCAGGCCCATTGATCAAAAAGCCCGAAGACAAAGCCTCCATAATGCGACGCAAGCAGTCGCCGGGTGAGATGGGAAAGCCAGCCGATGAAATAACTTTCTCCACGAGCAACTCCAGCGACCATTGTGGCAGTGACTGCCACGAAGAAACACGCTGGCAAAGATCACGTAATATGCGAATAACCATTACGCACGATTGCAATCCGGTTGCACGTGCCTGGAACCATTTGGCGTGGCGCAAATCGGCCAGTGCCTGCAAAAGAAGCAAAATAAATATGTAAAATGCTGCTGTAATAAGATTATTATGATTGAAATGCTTTTGATAGTTATTCAGCATTACGATCCTTGTATAAGAATAGATTACGCACCCGCAGACACGGCTCGCGTGGCAAAAAGTCAGTTTCGGCAGCTGTCGAAGACGATGCAGCATCCTCCGGCTTACCGACACCCTCGCATGATTCGCGCAGCAAAGGTGATGTGAGTGTTATCTTAACCGCGACCACTTCATCGAGCACTATTACGGCAGCCTCTTCGGCATTCACCTCGACGCGATAGTTGACCTGTGTGTCACCTGGAACGGAAAGTGTTTAGCCATGTGTTAGTTTCGATCGGTACTGGACAACAGAATAAAAAGAAGCATTAACAAGTTTAACTACGCGAAAAGTTCGGCTTAGAAAAGAGACAAACATTGTTGAGTAGATGATAGATAATTCCATGTGTGGGCCCACAAACTATAAATATATACAAGACATGAAGATGCACATCTGATAATCTCAAAAGCAAAATGTAAATGTTTGTTTCTTCCTACGTTCCACGGATAACAAATTCCGCTCTGTTCCCAGCAAACATACATATCACCAGTATATATATATATACATATATATTACAAGTATTTAACGTGTTCTATGACTTGCGTGCTGGGATCGGACCGGGCAGCCGGCGGAGTAGCCAACTCCACCTCGGCCTCGTAAACGGAATTGCAAACAAGAGTCGAAAATTTAAATGGAATTGCAATTCCACTTAGGACGCGTGGCTGGCTGTTTGGTTAGTTTTATTGCCAAAAAAAAAAAAAAAAAAAAAAAAAAATTGTACAAAAATTAAAAAAACATTGACCGAAATTTTTCGTTTATTTGCGGATTGATTGAATGACTAGCCACGCTCAGGTCACTAATTAGTCATCGGTCAGGTCAGCATTCACCGTTCGCAACACAAATTTCGGTCGCAATTTTTCGTTAGCTTAGTTTTCACATAGTTATACACAATCAAGTTTGATACACACAAAACGGATGCTTGAATAGGCATCGATATTTTCTCTATTGAGGTAGGTGGAGATGCCCATTTTACAGGGGCGCAACAATTTTGGCTGATAAATATTATATAGTTATATGTATACCATTATAGGATAACACACACATATACTATATATTCCATGTGTCTGTACCATCATCAAAGCGCCTTCTATGCGTCTGTCTGTGTGGATCAATCGCATTGCTTCAGCAGGTCGGCTGTATATACATATATATTTATATTTAAAGCTGCCTTGGAGCTTAATATAATATATTTCAAAGGACTTTATTTACACAAAGTTTCTTCGCATTGGAAGTGGAAACGGGGATAAAGAGTGGATTTCTGTGCTGTTGATGATTGATTCTATGATGCGTGTGTGTGTGTGTGTGTTTGTGTGTGCGTGTGTATGGCTAGTACAGTAGAACAACAACAGAGCACAACAGAGCGAGCACCCAAACTTTGTATAAATATATTCCTTTGGTTCAATTGTTTGTTTGATTTGGTTAAAGTTTCATTGTTCCACACATATGAACTCTTCCGCAGCCGCTTAGCTAGCTTTAGCTTCCGCCAGCGTGTAGAGAGTCCAGCAGAGTACTGCTTGTGTTACCATTACGATTATGAGATATCCGTTGATTCGATTTCCACCACCAGCAGTAGCAGTAGCAGTAGGAGTAGCAGCAGCAGCAGCTTGGAAAGCTATAGACGGCTAACAGACACCTGAGTGTGAGTAGTGTGAGTGGATAGCATCTCAAGGCTAAGGGCTCAAATCTTATCCTGCAGAGAGAGAAGCTGAAAACGGCAAATACGTTTTTATTTTTTATGGCTTGCTAGTTTGGCTTTTATTAGGCTGCTGTTGTTCGTTGTTTCTGTTCGTTGTTGGTTCTGGTCGTCAACAAAATTTAAATCCGCCACGGCAACAACAACAACAGGGCTCAACAGTAGTTCTAGTAGCAGTAGAGTATGTACATACATTAATAATTTCACTTTTTCCACACAAATTGCGCATCGCAAACGGACTGAATTTTTGTTTATATTAGTTATCACATTATGTGCATTCGTAATTATAATTTGTATATTTGGATTGCTTTTCTAGCATCATTGCGCTCCGAAATGTATTTACTCTCTTTTGGCGAAATTCACATTCTGTGAATTTGGCCAGGCAAAATGAAAGTTTTGGATTTGCTGCTTTTGATTTTTGCAATTTGTCGCGTTGCTTTATTCGACATGGATATGTCTTGGAGTCACATCAGGAAATACTATTGATTATCGCATAATAATATTTGATACCATTATGTACACATTTTTTTCTTCTTTCAAACAAGTCTCATATATTCGAATATTTAAGGCATAAATGTATTTGTGTTGCACTGTAATTTAATTATTTATGTGAGCTGCAAAATGTAACAAGGCCGCGAAATACAGTATATGGAAATAGGATATACGAAATATACCTGATATATTTTGTATAATTTGCTCTAATATATACTCTACTTTCATATATTCTATTTCATGGTGCCGCCTACACCTAGCTCTTTTCCTAATCCCCCACACATTTTCTAATAGGAATACACCATCTAAAATAAAGACATATTTCATTGTATTTTTCCCTAATGCACATATATATATATATATTTGCATTTCAGATATTACTACCAAATGTTCAATAAGGATCTTCATCTTCCCTAATTTAACAGGTCAACTCGAAATACTTCATCGATTCTTTAAAGAAAGTAGGTAAGTAGAGATATAAACTATATTCCACAGTTGCTTTAAGTCGATATATATATAAGGATTCTTTAAAACCGAAGAACAATTATGTTTTCTTGCGTTATATTTCTATGCATCGATCGGATCTATTTGGTTTGCGTATTATTGTGAAGTGTACAGTGTGAGCGTGTGTGGAGAGCCTAAGACATATCCATGGTAATTTTAGTTTCCCGACTAGAGGAATTCAGATAGCTGCTTCTTCTGTTTATAGCCATTTCTCTGGAAAAAGTTATTGCCCCTTGTTTACGGGCAGTGCAATCAATATTCACAATGGACACCAAAATATATATAGATGTGTATATATATCAAGGGATATATTTATGCATGTATATGTATGTGGTATATATGTCGCCGAATTCTCTGCAACTTACCTGCAACCTCCTTGAGCTTGTCGGGCAGCACATTGGTCACACGCTGCAACAGACTTGTCGTTGGCTTTTCCGCACAGAGGACGACTAGCTCGACAGCTGTGTCGCCGTGAAGCAAGAGTCCCTTGGCCAAGTAACCGACACGCATGACGCCCTTCAAGATGCGTACCACATTTCCGCCATTGTCGGCGTCCTTGTGGAATGAGAATATCTGGTTATCGCGCCCATCCTTTTCCGAGGGCTTATCAGCCTTCTCCTTCTTGGCGGCCGGTCCACTCTCACTGACTGCAGCAGCAGGAGTTGGAAGCTCGGCCAATGCATCCGAGACGAGTTTAAGTGCACGCTCTGTGTGAGACACAATGCGCTGTATAGTCTGGAGTTCTTCCTCCTTGGGATAGATTTCGGCATGACGCGCAATGGCGTGGCGATCGTCGGTGCTTTCCGGACGACGCACGTTTCCGCCGCCAGGCATCATGCCAAAGTGTGGCGGCGGTCCATTGCCCATGCGTCCAAAGCGCTGAGCGCCTGTGATATAGATGATTCGTTATATATGCGGAATTTATTTGATGTAACTAAGGCCTTACCTCCAAAGCTGCGTGACATCCAATTATTGTAGTCATACTCTTCATTGTATTGACGATTGCGCTGTTCGTCCCAATAGTTTCCCGCCTCGTGATCATCGCCACGGTGCGAGGACATGAGTGCACGCTGCGCACGAGCCTCGGCCAGACGACGCTGACGTGGTGTCGGCTTAAAGTCAACAACCAAATCTGGCTGGACTTTGCGCTTGTATTGCAAGCGATGGCGACGTCCTTTCATGTGCATCTCTTTGGCATTCGGATCGTTGAACTTGCAGTCGCATAGCTTACAGTTAAAGCTAAGTATCTTGCCCTCATCGTCCTTGACTTCCTCAATATACTCGCCACCGACGGGCTTAATGTTGTCCGTATTCTCGCCCATCGAATCGTCCAGATTGTCATCAATGTTATCAGCTGCTGCTGCTGCATCACCACCGGCGGTTGCCGCAGTTTCGGTTTGATCAGACTTGCCTGCTGCGGCTGCAGCAGCCGACGCATTTGGCCCGGCGGCGGGCACAAAGTTTATCTTGCCCATTTTTTTCGGCTCCTCGGATGGTATGGGTTTGCCCAGCTTCTGATGCAGCTTGACCACTTTCTGGTGTTTGGCGCCACGCACATGAGCCGCATAGGCATCAGTGCCAGTGCAGGTGACATCACAAAGTTCGCAGTGATAGTTGTTGCCACGGTTCTGGGCGCTGTTGGTGGCGCTTGCCTGCATTTTAAGCGATGCCTCACGCTTCTTGTGCTTCTGGCCTTCCAAATGTTCGCGGTACGTTTGGGGGCCGGCACAAGAGATTTTGCACACCTCACAATAGTGCAGCTGCTGTGGGCGCGGAGGAGCCTTTGGACGCAAGCCCCGTAAAGCAACAGCGCCGGGAATCGTGGGTCCCATCTTGCGCTGATACCAGCTATTACCGCCGCCGTTTGGCTTCTGCCCTGGATGCTGCTGGGCCACATACATGCTGGCCGCATTGTAGAGCGCCGTATCATAGCCGCTATAATTATTGCCACCCGCCACATTTGGTGGTGGCTTGGCTCCACCATTCGATTTGTCTATTTTGCCCATGCCCTTTTGTGCAGAGTTGGGATTTTTAACGGGCGGCGCCGAGTAATGTGTCTTGCTAACTGCTGCGGCTGCTGCTGCCGCTGAGGCCGTGCTGTAGCTGGCCGGCGCTTGCTGATAGAATGTTTTGGTGGCGTCGTACGATTGCATGGCACTCCGGTAGTCACCATAGCCACCATAGCCCGCAGCACCAGCGCCGGCGCCGGCCGCTGCATACCCGCCCCCGCCCTGGCCAGCAGCCACAGCAGCATTTTGATATGCGGCCGCATTTGCATATGTTGCATTGGTTACGGCCGGGTAGGTGACCTGTCCCGTATTGTACTGAGTACCGCCGTAGTTGAACCCGGCATAGTTGTTGTTCGCCATTGCCACGCAATTGCTGTAAAACGAAAGGAACAAACAATACAAATTACCAATCAATGCAAATCAGTTAACGATCCAATCGTCCCTCTCGACCTAATGACAAATCAGTTCTTACATTTACATTTACTTCCTATTACTTTCTTATTGCTCTGCCAAATATTTACTTTGACTGTATAGTTTTTTTTTATTTGTGCCTGTCGAATAATAGCCTGTTTATATCTGTTAATAGAATGCATGAAAAAGTACTTTTAGTCACGTCATGTTTTCAGTCTGCCAGAAAGGAAACCCCCACCATTTTTTCTCTATCGATTTTTCTGGCTCAAGTTTGAATGCATTTTTCGTAAATGCAAGCAACACGCACGAACATCCAACAACACATTCCATATAATACAATTACAGCCACATAAAAATATCAATATTAAAAGAACAATTTGCGCACTTAAATTACCTTAAATTTGTTGAGCTGCTGAAAATTTTCCGTCTATCAACCGGCGACAGTAGCGATGTGTATATGAATATCGCACAACGTCGATAACTAATTTTAGTCACGCCGCTGACGGCGAGTTGCCAGGAGCTGTTGTGTGTAGTGCTGCCAGCCGCAGCTTTGGCAAAGTAGTTAAATATAATAGACGAAATAACTCAATATGCGTTCTGAATACAAATTGGCAATAAGCAGAATTGCTAGTACTTGTTATTGACATAACTAAATACGTTTAAAACTACAATTGTTACCAGCTGACGTTTCTTTGTAAGTTGCCACATTAAGCTAGAAAACAGCTAAATTGGCAACACTATTGTGTGCAAAAAATGCATATTGCTATCGATAAGTGTTGCAAAGGGAAACCATTAAAAACTAGGTGGCAACGCCTTAGATTCGCGCCGAAAACAAAACGATAGCTGCAAAAATATTTGTTTAGCTTGTGAAATTTATGTTAGCGTATTTGATTTGTGTGTTTAAATGGATGAGAAGCGATATATAAAGCGCAAAGAGAAGGCGCGCATTGATGGCAATCGGGAACAACTGGCGGTAAGCTGCAACCAGCTGGGCGACTTCTATAATCAACTGGGCAAGTACAATGAGGCGGCCAGAGAATATAATCAAGAAGCAACCATATACGCCAGCATGGGCAAGGAGCTGGAGACGGCGAAAGCGAAACGCATGCTAGGCGAAATGTTCACGCTGCTCTGCGAATACGACGCGGCCAAGGATCACATAAATGACTATTTAAGTGAGTAGCTGCTGCAGGTTATATTTCTATTTGTCTAAAATTGTGTTTTCTGACAGAGATTGCCAAAAGACTGCAGAACAAAGTGGAACAGCAACGTGCCTATGCCACGCTGGGGCGGGTCCATCTACTGCACGGACAAAGCCTGTCCGACAGCACGGCTTCAGGTGCCATGGAACAACTGAAGCTGGCGGAAAAGAGCTTCCTGCGGAGTTTGTTGCTCGTCAAAGAGTAAGTGCTGACCCTTCAAAGTATTACCATGTCATAAACTATTTTGTAGGCTTTCAGGTCAGATTTCGAAATTAGAACAGTTGGACATGCAAGCGCGCTGTTACCTAAATATCGGCGTTGTGAAAGAGCACATGGAGGAATTTGAGGCGTCACTCGAGTACATTGATAAAGCCATTAAAATCAGCAAAACTCACGACCTGTTCGAGCTGACCCACTTGTGCTACATTTCGATGAGTCTGCTTTACAATTGCAAGAAAAATGACGCAGCGTCGGCGCTGCGCTACTGCAATATGGCGCTGCAAGTCGCCAAACGACTGCCGAATAAGGTGAAGAAAATCTGCGAGACACTTATAACGAAATCGGAAATTCTCATACATGCCGGAGACTTTGCAAGCGTTAAGCAAATACTGACTAAGGCCTACAAGAAGCATACGCCCGATGAGAACGATCGCGCCACCATTGAGCGTTCGTTGCGCGTGGTGGTAAAGATATGTCAATGCCTTGATGAGCTGGTGCTGACCAGTTCCGTCGACTATGGCAAGCTAAAGGATCTGTATGAGAAACTGGGCGACGGCTGTTGCCATCTCTTAAACTATGAAAAGGCGATTGTCTATTACCAGAAAATGCTGGAGTGCGCTGAGCTGAACGAGGAGCGTGGCAAAAGCCTGGTGCCCATTTATGTTAGCCTCTACCAGACATACAAGGATAACAAGCAATACGACAAGGCGTTGGAGTATTTGTGGAAGGAGTTTGAGTTAAATCAGGATGTGCCCGCAGAGGCATTCACAACACTTTGCAGCATTGCTGAGATCTGTGAGCAACAGGCGCAGCCCTTCTGGACCGTTCATGATGTGTATCAGAAAGCGTTACGACAGGCAGCCAAGGCAGATGAATCGTTGTCTGCAAAGCTAGAGAAGATTGCTTTGGTGCGCTTACACAAGCTGCAGGTAAAGCATAAAATGCATGTGTTAGCTGAAAATTTGGAGGCAGAGGCCAACGCCAAGGGCATTAATCTGGCCGCGGAGACTGCCAAGCTGGATGAGGAGGATGATGCCGATGGCGACGTGCCTGCAGCGCTGCAACAAAATACACCCGACTGGGTTGACGATGTTGATTTGGATGCACTCACCGATTCTGATGCCAGCGATCTTGATGAGACTGACAAGCCTCGCCCACAGCGCGTCACACGTGGCAATCGTACGCTCACCATTAAGCGAAACAACAAGGGCGAAACGCAGCTGCATCAGGCCTGCATAGCTGGCAACCTGGAGCTGGCACGCCGACTCATTGAACAGGGCCACACAGTAAATGTGCGCGATCATGCCGGCTGGCTGCCACTGCACGAGGCTTGCAATCACGGCTATCGTGATATTGTCGAGTTGCTGCTGGACAAGGGAGCCACAGTCGCAATTAACGATAAGGGCGGGACGAGCTGTGATGGCATTACACCGCTCTACGATGCCTGTGCCAATGGTTACCTGGATGTGGCCGAGTTGCTGCTGGAGCGTGGAGCAGATGCGACTGTGCGCACGGACTACAATGAGACCTGTATTGAGGGCTTGGACAAGTGGCGGCAGTCCAAGCAGCTGATTGAGGGCGAACAGGCTCAATATGCACAATTACGCGAAACCCTTCTACGTACTCTTTCCAAGGTTGGCATTTGCAGCATGCAGCATGCGCGTCCCTTGACCAATGCTCATGCTCGGCCAGCTTCCAGCGCATCGGCCTCATCAGAAGCCGAAGAGGAAGATGTTGAGCTGACGCCACGTTACAGGCGCGCCATGCCCATGCTTAACCGTTCCGCCAGTTCGGCCAACAGCCCGCGTGCGCCATCAAGCGCTAGCAAGGAATACCGCAACGTGATGGCGCAGCTGAAGCGTCCAAATCGTACACCCGTCAATTACGATGAGCCGAGCAGCAGCACAAGCGCCAACGTGAAGCAGAAACGTGCAGCCCTATTAAATGCCGACGAAGTGGATGCGGACAGTTGGCTGGTCGATGATGTGGGACCAGAGCGTAAACGCAAGCGCTACAATTCCGGCAGCTTGGGTAGTCGCGCAGTTGGCGCTAAAGAGAATCTGCACGACTCGGCGCTGGCCTGGGAAACGGAATTTCAGGCCACGCCGCCTGAGCAGGATGCACATCAAGTGCTAATCGAGGCAGCCAATTCCAAACAGCGCCAGAAACAAATGCGTAAGCTTACGCTCTCGCGCTCTTCCAGCATGAACAGCAATCACAGTGGCAGCAACTCCAGACAAACCAAGCAGCAAACATCGCTGCTGGACAGCGGTTTCTGCCGCTTTCGCAGCGAAAGCCCTTTGGGCAGCGGCGAGGATTCCCTGGATGGCGCATCGGTGATAAGTTTGCGCTCTCACGCGGAACCGGATTCCACAACCAGCAGCGCGCAGAGCGGCGGCATACAGCTGCTCATCTCGCCCACCAAATTGTCGTCGCCTATTAAAGTGCAGGCAACGCCTGTGCTGGCCACCACAGTGTCCTTCAAAGTCAAAGTGCAGGATGAGCTGCTGCTTGTGCCCGTCGAGCGTAAGAAGCTGCAAGACGTCAACATGCGCTGGCTAGCCGAAGAGACAGGACGGCGTTACAATAAGTGAGCAAATCCTTATGTAGAAAACCAAATCTCAATCTAACCATCTATCTTTATATTCCAGATTAACTGGCCTGACGCCTTTGCTGCGCTTGAAAACATCTGACGGCTTTGCATACGAGGACTCGGATTCTGTAAGCGTCGCCCTTGAACAGAACATGCTGTTGTCCACCATTCTAGATTGGAAAATATCACCGCTCTCACAACGCTATGAGGAGATGTGCCATCAATTGCAGAAGGGTAGGTGAATACATTATATTTTTAATATAGATTGTCAACTATTTAAATCTGTACAGGGGTCGATGATAAAATAAAGCTACTGCTGGAGCGTTCACAAAACACACAAACACTGGAGCTGGCTGGTCTTTGGCTACGTGAAGCGCAAACAGAGCCGGTGTTCAAGGCATTGTTGCATCAGGCGCGTCTCACGGTGCTGGATTTGTCCTGTAACTTTATTGGCAACGAGGGCTGTCAGCAGCTGGCCAAGGCATTGCCGACATTGCTGCAACTGAAGACGCTGCGCTTGAAGTGCAATGCCATAAGCAATGCGGGTCTGGAGGCGTTGCTCTGCGGCCATGTCATGGACAAGCTGGATAATTTAGAGGAGCTGCAGTTAAGCCAAAATCCGCTGGGTAATGCCAGTCTAAGAACACTGCACAGATTTTGTGCGAGTGGCGCTGGGCGTGCTCTGAACAGTTTGCATTTGTCGCAGTGCGAGCTAACGGAGCTGCAGGACTTTGATTTGGCCTATACGCAACTGACCAGCTTTGACATTAGCTTCAATCAGCTAACACAGCAGAGTGTGCGCAGGTTGTCGGAGCAGTTGAATAGCAGTCGCTTAGAGAACTTGAATCTGAGCTACGTGCGCTGGCCCCTTGATGAGCAGAGCGGCTTTGCGCTCGGCGAGCGTTTGGTGGCGCTGCTCGAGAGCGGCACAAGTGAGCGATTTGTGCGCTTGGAACTCGCCGGCTGTGGGCTGATCGATGCGCATATTTATAAGCTAACGCAGCAGCTAAACAAGGCGAAACAACTGGAATGGTTGGACATAAGCGATAATGAGCGTTTGAGTGGCGCTGCCCTGGGCTACGTGCTGGACGAGCTGCCGCAGCTGCGCGTGTTCTTAGCCACGAATTGTATACGAATGGTGGATGATCTGCGCCTACAGAAGTTGGAGCAGCAGAAACAGCTGCCCAAGCGCATGGATCTCAGCATAGATGAGCAGACATTCAGCTTGCCAGGCGCCTTGGCCACATTGATATCCATTTGGCAGTTGAAATGGGGCGACAATGCCAAGTTGCTGATGCCCAAGCGCAAGAAGGGTCCGCTCAAGCTGTACGTGGACGAAAGTGATCTGCTTTGGTCTGCTTGATTATGTTTTGTTATTGTGTTTAAAGTCCCAATTGTTTATACCTGTTGACATATATTAATATAGCAATCATCTATCTATAGACCCGAGGGAACAGGCTCGTGATAGTATTCTTATCTAATC